GAAAGAGACGGAGAGGGGGGGGGGGGGCATGAATAGATGAATGGGGAAATAATTGATATTCCTTATTCAATTCCTAATATAAAGGGATACTCATATATAACTTATTTGTATATAATTGGTAAATTGTATATGACCATGTAATTAAGTTAAAACTTGATTAGGGATGGTAATAAAGTTTTATATATAGTATAGGAAGGTAAAAATTCCTTTTTCGTTTGACATTCTTCTAAGGCCCAAATACATCGGCAGCCCTAAAGTTGTATCAGCTTTCCACTTTATTACTTAGGGAAATTACCAGCTATGTCTATTTATAAGTAGCTCATTACAAAAATTGGCCAATTGATAAAATATTACTAATATTAGCCAAATTAGCCAATTAGCTATTTGTAGCAAAAAATATCAATTTTTTGCTTTGTTTTGAGTGGGTGTTATTAGAATAGATTGGGCACAACTTAAGGAGCTTGAATCTCAGTTTTGGGATGATTTGGTGAAGTTTTGAGGTGGTTTGAATTGAAAATTCGAAGTAAAAGCTGAACATGAAAAAAAATGATGTGTATCATTTGTGTATCACATGTATATCCATGTATACCTGTGTGTGTGATACATGCGTGATACATATTTGATACATGTGTCGCAGAAAACTTTTTTGAACTCGATTAATTACGAATTTTGATACAAAACCAGTCCAAATCACCTCCAATTTTCTCTGTCGTCCTCTTTCTTCGATTTTCAGTTGAAACTTTCTTCGCATCTTCTCTCTCTCTCAGTTTGTTGCTTGACAACGTCTGAGAATGTCAGAGAGGACTGATTTGTGCCAATGTGATCGGGCACGTGTGTTGATAATCTGATGGAGTTTGGCAAACCCAGGCAGAAGGTATTTTGTATGCAAAATTGGCATAGTGAGTATATATTTCGATAGTCTTTTTTGTTTCTTTGATCTTTATATTGGTAAGAAACGGTTAGCTTTTTAAATTGATTTATCGGGATATGTTTTAAAGGACAAAGAAGGATGTAACTACTTCAGGTGGTTTGAGGGGGCATTTCCTAACCATGTAAATAAAGTTATTTTGGGTTTATTGAAGAGAATTAAGGCGTTTGATCAAAAAAGGGAACGAGCTACACAATGGATGAATAAGTTGTTGTTTACTGTTCTACTACTTGTCATAATGATTTGGCTATGCTGTTGTTCTTGTGATTGTTGCTGCCAACAGAATTCGAAAGTGGCTGAAGGTGGTTGATAGTGTATTTGTGGGATGTTTGTTAGTGCTATTAGTGTTTGATAATGTTTTGTAGTTGGTGCCTTCTGTTGTTTGGATGTTATTTGTGTAACAAGTTGTTGTAGGATGTTTAGAGTATATTTAGTTGTTGATGTAATTCACAATGTTTGAATCATAGTTTGGTCGCATTGGTTCTAAGTAGTTGCTGGAATTCTCAATTTGTGCGTATTTCCATTAGATACCAAAATTTGGTAACATTGTCCACGCTCCATTCGATCTTAAAATTGACTCTTTTGTTTCTGCAACGTAACAAAATGTAAAGAAATTGGTAATAAAATAGGATTTTGTAATCCAAACATCATAAAATTCAAAAGAAAATTTCAAATTATAACCTACTCATATCCTGTTGTAGAAGCTGTAAACAACTTGCAAGACACATTTCTTTCAATAGATAACTGCTTCAAACATAATAACAAAAGTGAATGAAATCAAATTTCCAAAAAGGTTTTACAAATGTGGAAAAAATGCAGTACATTACAAGTAGTCAAAAGAAAATGGTAAAAGAAGGTTTAACAAAATACAGTATATATTGCTGCAAATTACATTTACCAATAGGGGGTTCAACAAAAAAAACTGAACACTTTCAACTACAAAAATCCAAGTCACTTAAGCTATTTCTTGGCAAATTTATCCATGATCACTTGAGTTGCATCTTTTTGTGGTGGTTGTTTATTTGTGGGTTATCCAACTATGTTTCTTCGACATGCACTCATTTGCTGAAGTTGGGAATTAGTAATTGCATCTCCTCCATTCCGTCTTAGTCCTGGTAGCCTAATTCCATCACTTGGTTGCACAAAAGTGGTACTACTCAACCTACTCCTATTATTGATAACCCTTTTACCAGAAGTACCATGCTGAAAAGGTATAAAGCCTTTAATATTAGACATGGAAAAGTTAAAAAGTAACATAATTAAATGTTTTGATTGTACTTACATTAAGGATTGTATTTTCAGCCTCTAGGTTAGTGTAGCATTCAAATCCAACATGTCTTGGCCTTTTTTTACCAGCAGCAAATGAAGATCCAACTTCAGGTGCACTTCCCATACCGTTTTTCACACTAGTTTGAAGTTCCTCTTTCTCTTGGTATTGCACCCCTGAAAATACATCCCTAGTAAGTAGGTCTAATTGTTGTACTGTGGCCCTTCCACTACCCCTTCCCTTGCCCCTTCCTCTAGTAGTTGCAAGTTGGTGTATCATTGCCCCCTTACTCTGCCCCCTTCCTCCCGTAGTTGCACCACTTGTTGGCCTTGTAGTAGCTGAAGACTCTTCAGGACCACTCTAAAATAATAAAGTGCAGTGAACATGCAGTGAGGTTACAGAAAATGCAATGAAGATATAACATTGAAAAATAGTTGTATAGTATAGTTCATACCCTTGTCGGACATCCTTTTTTGTTGTGGCCAAGTTGATGACATTATGAATATGTCATTTTAACTCCTTTTTTGGATAGCATGCCCCATTTTTTTGTTGGTTCATTCTTGGCCTTTTTTCTATTCTCTTAAGGTCTGCCTGACATTGGCTTTGGTGTCGTTCAATTGGAGGACTGTTACTCATAGGCCACATTTCTAAGTTAGGAATTGGCTGAATGGAGTGCCCATAAGTTTGTAGGAATTTATCCTTTCTGTACCAGTGCTCCACATGTTCATCTGGATCCTAATGTAAGTAATAACATGCACACATTGCATTTTCATATGGGATACCTCTCAACTTTCACAACCTACAAGTGCAAGTCTTGAATGTAGTATTTACCACAAACCTTATCTCT